AAAAATATAAAAGTCATGATGCCATTCCTTAAAAGCCTACATTAAAAAGCAGAAAGGTACATCTCTTTGGGGTCTAATTTGCCCCATGTTCAGCCTACCACCAGTGATGGCAATTCTGTGGCTCTTGTAAAAGTCAGAGAGGACTTCAGTGGGATTCTCCTTATTTCAGAAATGTACCTTCACTGTTGATTCAATTTCAACACTGGACAGACTCCATGCTTTCTAGAAATGTGCTTAATAGAGCACCCCCTAGTGGCCTCTTGCTGTTCCTGGTGACTGCCAAGTGAGAAAGGGCTCTAGCCACCACTCCAGCCACAGTTCCATACCCCAAGAGCCCTTCTCCCTGATGGTCTCACCACGGACCCCTCCCCTTCTCTTTGAAGGCCTGGGGATTGGATAGCTTCCCAGCAAGGCCTAATCTGAGCCTTTGGTTTATGGCCAGAAAGTGGCACTCCCACACACCTGGCCTGTTTTCTTTTCTAGATACCCCACCCTCCTTTTCTGTAGCATGCATTACCTGACACACATGGTCAGTGTCTACCACATCCTTTGACTGGTAACCATTGTTCCACTGAAGTGGGTTCCACTAAGGGAATTTTGTACATTTTGTTCAAGGACCTATACAAGCTCCTATTTCGGAGTTAAACAGCATACACACGCCGCCTAGCCAGACGGAGTGTATGTGAAGAGGAGACGGAGCCAACCAGCAAAGTCTCAAATCATGAACTAATGCTCCTGCTTCTATATGGAGTGATAGCTACACATCAAAACACTATCTTGCACACACTTCAAGTTTTAGACTAACATATTGTCAGGCTGGGGAGATGGCTCCTCTGGGAAAGTGCTAGCCTGAGTTTGATCCCCAGCACCCAATTAAAAAGCCAACCTCCCTTAATTGGAAAGTCCCAGGTCCTAGTGAGAACACTGTTCCCAGAAACCAAGGTGGGTGTTTCCTGAGGAAAGACACCTAAAGTTGATCTCTGGCCCTAGGTAAGCAGGAACACACATATACACCCATACTAACACATGCACACAAAAACATATTTTAATGACTTCAAAGATACCCTGAATCTGCCAGAAATACTTTTTAGCCCTAGAATCAGGTCTTCACAGTGGGAAAGAAGGGGAGAAACCCATAACTTTAATCAAAGACAAAATAACTGCAAAGCTATCCCACCCACAGTCTCAAATGGCCAAGAGGCAGAGTCACCATTCCTCTATGCAACTATGGATACATTGTCTCCTCAGGGACATGGTCAAGGACAAGACAGAGTCCTGGCTATTTGTGAAACAAGTCATAAAAGACTATTTCCTTCCTGCACAGCTTCAGAGACAACCTGAACCCAGAAACACTCTCCACCACCATTTGTTTGCTTTTAAGATTTGAGTTATTCTTGAATTAACAGGACCTCTGAGCCTTCTAATTCCCACATGGTCTTATTTGAATCTGTGACAACGCGGTTATGTGAGCTCAGATCTAAAAGAGTTAAGTTCAAAGAGTCGCTCTAATTATTAACCATCCTGGCAACTGGCATACATACTGAGCTCTTCGGCCACCTCGTCCAGGCAGATGTCATTATTCACAGCAGGGTTGGGGTACTTAGGGTACCGCGCTAAGAATTTGTGGCATAACAACCCCAAGCTTTTCTCTTTTCTACTTGGCTGGGACTTCTCAAATTCGTCTCCAGATAAGTGTTCCTGCAAAGGAAAAGGTAAATAGTGTCTCATTCTGAAATAAAGTTTGACAGATTTATTGGGGACATCTGTGCTAGATGGCTAACTCCTCTCAGCCCCACACATACACAGCTAGGACAGCTGCAAAGTTGGGGAGGGACTCAGAATGGTCTTAAAGAAAGCCTGGGATGAAGATCACTCTTAGGGTCCAGCATTCCCAGTGTTGGGCTCCAAGGGTACAAACTCTTTCCAGGCTCAGCAGGTCAACAGCTGCCTTTCAGCGGCTCCTGATTACTTGCCCATTTTCACCTCCCTCTCCCCACAAGCCCCAGCTGCCACTCAATCTCCTGGAAACCTACATGCAAACAGTCTCTAGCTTCAGGTAATCTGCTTCGGTTCTCAGATAGCCCCCTTTTTTGATCTCGACTTCGGATCTCTGGGCTCACTGCACTGAAAAGCATTTTCAGGTTGGCTGTGGGTGTCCATGGCTCTCCTTGGGAGACTTCCTTGGGCTTAGTTGGCGTGGTTAAAGGGCCCAAGTCAGGCTGGATCTCAGCCAACACCACGTTGGCCTTCGAGGACTCTTGCAGTGGGCTTCTCATCAGTCCTCTTTTATGTGGTTCAGAAAAGAGGTTTTCCTGGTTTAGAAGGAATTAACAGTTGAGTTCACTGTGAAATAGAATCTATCAGAAAGCTTTTTGATTTTAAAATTGACTCAAGTAGGTTGAATTAATATTAATTTATATGAATCATATAATATAAAATATAAATATTAAGACAATAAAACATTAAATAAACATTCCAGTGAGTGTTTGACAGTAATTTCCTTTTTTTATTTGCAACAAAAACTCACTATACATTCAAAACAACCTGGAACTTACTATATAGCAATAAACTGACCTTGACTTTATAATCCTCCTGCCTCAGCCTTATGAGTGCTGAGATTACAGGCATGTACCTCTATACCTTGCCACTACTGTCCGTTCTAATAATTAAACTTCCTGCTTTTAACTTGGCAGGAACCATGACTCTAAATAAAATTAAAAAATAACTTTAACTACAGACTTTGTTTTTGGATTCTATTTTGAAATAGGAGAGTTGTAAAGATAGCTCAGAGCTCACTCTTTCCTTGCTAGAACCGAATGCTTTTAGATTCCTAGAAGCAGCCTCTACTAATGACACTTCAAGGAAAGGTGTCCAGGACCTGAACCACGCTGCACACAGCAGAGCTGTACGCATGGGTGCCCAATGACCCCCCACTGACCAGGAACAGGCCAGAGCACCAAGGTGAGGGTACCCTCATGGTCAGGGCCTCATACCTACCAGCAGGACATCTGACCATTAAAAAAAAAAAAATCTGCTTTCAACATGGACTCTTGAGGCAGATGCAGAAAATGGGGCCAAGGGTAGTAACCTCAGCCATTTAAGGCCTCAGAGCTAGTTCCTGCTATGGAGACACACTAGTAACTTAACTGCTGTTCACAAGGGCAGTGGAGACTGGGCCCCCTTTCACTTTTGGACACCAGTGATTTCACCATTATTAGAGAATGTACTTGGAAGGCAACAACTCCTGAGAACAGAGCTATCTCCTCTCCTCAGTAACTTTAGGAACACGGGTTAACAATCCTCTATGACGTGACTGTAACTAAGGGCTCACCAAGGGCTCTCCGGTGTGTATATCTGCTGAATCTGCTATTCAGCAGAAGACAGGGGGAGGGAGGCCACACAGGGCTGGCCCTGAATTTTCTCAGTTCAGTAAAGTACCTCATGAGGTACTGACCCAAGGGTGGGGTTTCAGTGAAAACTGCCAGCGACTGTATTTAACTTCTAAAAGCTTCCGGGAGACTTCTCATACACAGCATTCCGAGGCCCCATGGTTTAAAAGGCTGACAATTTAGAATTGTCATCTTATAAAGAAAGCCAATATCAAAATTATGTCCTTTCTGAATCCCAATGGTTCATGTAAAGATTGTGATACAACATATAAATGTTATTTTTTTAAGTATTAGAAAACACCTTCCCCCACATATATGAAATTTACACTAAACTTTTGAAACAGAAAGATTACTTTAACCCTGGGCAGCCCTATTCCTCTTCAAAAATTAAAATTTCCTTCTGGATTTCTGTAAAAGTCAACCAAAAGAATACAGTATTCATGACTATCAAACGAAAAACTTAAGGTGTTAACTCAGGATAATACGGCATTTGATACTGCAACACTGTAGACCAAACTTTAAAAATACCTTTTGGTTCTCCATTTTGTCAATTCCTCATACATTTAGTGTGTCTTTAAAAACGAAAAATCTTAAGTTCCTCCCCAAATTCCAGCAGTTCAAGTAGTCCAATCGATCGATCCTATTAAAGTTTTTTAATATCCTTAAAGGGGGAAAAAAAAAAAAAAGGAAAGAGAGAAATAAGATCTGCTGAAAATGCATTAATCGACACAAGAGCTCCCGGAACAAAGAAACGAAAAATGACAAACCAGTTTATATTTGCCCCCTCGAAGAGAGACAGAGCCTCTGGGCAGACCGCGCCAACAGACAGCAGTAAATTCCTCCATCAAACCCATCTCCTGTCACGAGACTTCAAGCAAACCCAATCTGCAGTGACAGTCCTCTCGCACGTTCTGAGACGCTGTAGCAAGCACCCACCTGTGCACTGATCCGGGCTGCGGACGGAGCGCACGAGCCCGGGTCTCGACTGAGCACACACCAAGCCTGCATCGGGTGAGATGCTCAAGTTTCTCGCCTGACACACACGTGCACAGGCTCAGAAGGAAGGGCTTGGGAAGCAGCCTGAGAGCAACCCTCCAATTCAGCCTCTGCGCTATAAGCGCACGACGGAGCATTTACAGAGCGCTTTGGGATTTGGACCCCCTCTTTTAGGCTTCTCTAAATACGCGGTGTATTTGTGGGGGTGATCTCTAGGTGCCGAGTTCACCGCGACGCTCAGCGCACGACAGGCAGCGCTCCGGGACAGGTACGGTCCCCTGAAATTGCCCGCTTCCCGCCGGGCGCACGAACTGGCTCCTCCTCCCCGCCAACTGCGCCGCCCCCGGGGGCCGCCAGACAGCATCTCACGGTTTCCAGGGCGACGGCTCCCAGCCAATCAGAAAGCCCCCTGCAGGCCTGCAATTGGCTAGGGGTTCCCGGGGTGGGGCCGGACCTTCCGCCTTCGATTTAAAAATTTGGCGCGGAAAGCGGGATCGCAGCTGGCACCGCCCCCGAGTGCGCGGGGCTGGAGCGCGGGCGAGCCCCTCCCCCGCCTTCTGCGCGGGAGCTCGGCTCCTCCCCACGGGGCCCCGGCGGGGCGGGAGGCGGGAAACGGCCGCCTAGACCCCGGCCTGCCCCGGATCTCGCAGCCCCACCGCACTAGTCAGCTCCCCGCTCACCTGTCAATCCTCCTCCGGGGCTGGCGGTCCTGGGCCGCCTGAGCGCCTAGCTGCGCGTCTCAGGGAGCCCGCGCGTCTCGGGGAGACTAGCTCAGCACCGCCGCGCAGAGGTGGGTGCCGGGGGGCGGCGCCGGGGCTGGGGCTGGGGGGGCGGCGGGTGGGTCGCGGGAGCGTGGCCGTCCCGGAGCAGTCCAGCCCCCGATTTGAAATTAACCCGCTCCCGGCGCGAGCCGCTCCCGCGGGCGCGGAGCCTCCCCTCCCCCACGCCCTCTCTCCCGGCCCGGGGCCCCGCGCGCCAATCCGCGCCTCCTCGCCGCCTCCGCGACGAATCAGGCTGTAGGCACCGCCCTGCGACCCCGCCTCCAGCTAGACTTGGGGAAAAGTCCTCAAAAACTACCCCCCCCCATTCTCCCTCTTTTTGCAAACACCGTTTATCCTAGACCGAAGCTGGGGGATGAAATTTGGCTTGTCCAGGAGTGGCTGGCTGGGATGCCAGGGCTCCCTGCCATGCCCAGCCGAGGGCCACGTCAACCGGTGCCCAGTCCCAGCTCTGCTCACCTGCCCTCTGGACCCCAGCGGCACCCTGCACTCTGCCACCTTCTGCATTGACTGTGCTCATCTTCTGCCCCAAGGCTTCCAGAAACGTACGAAAAGGAAGGAGCTTCGGTGTCCGAAGCCGATGGACGCGGGGCGTTGGCGGATCTCTGGACACGCAGGTGTGGGAAGAGGCGGAGAAACTCGGAAAACCTGCCAAGCCTGTCCCCAGCGTCCCGAGTCTTCCTTTCCCTTCCTTCTCTTTGCTTTTCCTCAATTTTTTCCTCTTTTTCCCTTTATAAGCCCCGGGCATCGGCCTGGAATGTCATACAAATCTAAGGGACCTCAGAGTTAGGAGACCGTCTCACCCAAACCTCTCATTTTGATAAAGTGGAAATCAAAGCCCGGCACCCCAGCACTGCCTTTATGTGCCCTAGGTGTGTTTGTTTGTTTGTTTTTTCTTTTTGCCCCCCACTCTTGCCTTACAACGTTTCCCCTTTTTGATCACCTCTGAGCTCCCTTGTTGCCTAACCCACTTCCATCTAAGGTTGTGGTTTGGGCTCTTCCCACTTTTAATTTTGTGTCTTCAGCCTCCAAACGGCACCCCCCCTCCGGTGGGGCACACTGTCTAAGTTCCATCATTGAGCTTGGCCATTTGTGAACCATCTACTGGTGGCTCCAACCAGATACTGTGTTTTCCTAGGGGCACTTGGAGTGGGGGATACTGAAATACGGCCTCTGGATCTCTGTGCGAAGGGAATGCACACTGGGCGGTGGTCTAGGTGGTGAGCCGAGGTTTTTCTTCCTGAGGAAGGTATACACAGAGTGGCCTTCAAAATGCACTTATGTCTTCGGGCCTATATTCAATTCTAATAGCCTTCAGAAGCGTGGGTGTTTGGTGTCACTCAAGTACCCTAAAAGAGCAGGATTGAACCTGAGTGTTCAGATGCTGTGCAGAAGAGACTGGGTGCAGCCTCAGGATGTAAAATAAAACCCCATCATGGAACAGAAAAGGATGCTCACAGGACAGATGAGTCTTACTGAGCCCATGTTTTCCTTTTCAGAGCAGAAACGAATTTTAAATATATCCCCAAGAAGTAGTCTGTGGCTTTCTGCCTAAGTCTCTGTCTGCCAGGTTACCTCTCAAACCTCTTCTCTGTCAGTGCTTAAAGCTCCAAAGGATTAAGTGATGTCCAGCTTATATTTAGAGCCAGAATTAGAATTCAGACCCACCCCACCCCGTTGTCACTTCATATATCCTAGTGCACTGCCCCAGAAGTCAGATCACAACCATTTCAAGCTCTCCGTCAACACTGGGAGTCGGGGGGGGTTAGTGAGATAATGGAATTTTTGTTTAATGGTGGCTGTCGTGTCAGTTACAATGAAACTGATGGAACAGGATGAAATATGGTGCTTCGAAGGTCTTGATGACCCTGTCAGTCATGAGACGTTGATAAGGAAGCAAGAATCTGGGGGTTTAGCTCATGGCACATGTGTCCAGCACCATACGTACAAGTATAGTGTGTCAATCTGAAGCTAATGTGACCATAAATGACAGATAACTCCAGAAAACCTTCATGCTTGCTGTGCAAACCTGAAGGAAAGGTCAGAGGATACGCCTGAAGTAATTTTTCTTACTTTCCCTTCAAATATGTTTTTAAAGTTATTGATTATATAACCCAAGAAGATTCTCATGCTTCTCTGTCTGGTCATCTGTGTGGCATAATAAATAGCCCATATCTCACTGAGCTGGGCCAGTTTTTCCGCTCTGCTATCATCCTTCTTGGTTGCACAACTCAGCGGTTGTGTAACATATCCAATAATAAATGAGGTATTATGAAAAAAGATATCAAAGGTAGGGGGATGTGGTGTCATCTGAGGGAACCTTTGGGATTTCTGAATCACCTTCCTTCCCATCACCATGGGAAGGGGCAGGCAAGCCTTTCTCCCATGACCAGGATAGGATGAGGGGCTAGTAAATGTTTTTCTACTGGTGGGTCCCGAGACCGTGTTCCCTCTCACAGCTCCTGCCTCCCAAGTTCTTCTGTGACTGGCCTTATGTACTTGCCAGCTCAGCATAGAGTTTGGGTTTTAGGCTTTGCCATATCTGTTGGTATATCCACCCCAAACCTGCTATTGGGAACATTAAATTACACAAACCACAGCTGTTCACCAGACCTCAGCCCTCTCCCCTGTCCCTTGAACAAGGTGGTTTGCGAGTAAATGGTGTCAGACCCAAATGGGAATTATTTCAAGAGAATGAACAGGAGCTGGCTCTGCCCCGGCCTTGCCAGCTGTGTAGCAGAGCTTGGTCAGAGCTTATCCTAGTTAAGGTTAACATTCTGCCTGTTTGCTGTAGGCAGCTCCTCCAGAGGTCTGGGCACATATCTGCAGCTAGGGACTCAGTTGCATTGCAGCCACTGCTGCTGTTTATTGAGCAACTAATTACTGCCCCCACATTTTAAAAAATGCCTTGAGGAAACAACATAAAACACTAAAGGCCCCTTTACAGAACTGGGATTCTGTCTAAAACTTAAAGAACTGAGGTCACGTCCTCTTGTGCTTATCAGTAGGTTGGAAGGACAGAGTTTTCCCAGTTCTGGGACACTGCAGAAGTATGTGTACAGGTTCTGTGGAGTAGGGGTGGGGACAGCCACACACAAAAATGTCCCAATCAGACCAGAATCCCTGTAACCTCCCTGATGAGCCATAGCTGCTTTTGCTTAAAGCACTGTGGGAGGAACATCTGTGCGGATCCCCTCCAGCCAGATGCCTCACATCCTGTTGAGTGAGAATCCCTAACTCTACAGTTGCCCTTCTACTATTGACTCCTCCCTCTGATCCCACTGTGTGCTCCCAGGGAGCAGAAAAAAGGACTTTGCCCTCACGTGGTCTCTCTAGTGTCTAGCCAGGAGCTGTGCCTAAGAAAGTGACTTGGTTCTACTTTATCCCACCAAGTAGGGACGGAACCATTTCTCCCCATCTTATTACCTGCAATGTCAAGTCTAATTGTGAACACACACCTAATGTTCTATAATGTGAGAAAAGTGACTCTTATAATGACCTGATTCAAAATGGTAGAGAGCACATCTGTGCATGCATGCAAACACTTGAGCCAGACACTTCTCATTCACTCACTAAAATTACCTATCTGAATGTCTGTCTCTTGTTCTGAAGTTGGGATGTGGTCAGCATCAGCTTCAGGATGAACTGGCTTCCCTGGCGTCCCAACACTAAAGCCAGCTCCACTTACTCATGGCCTTCTCTTTCTCTCTTCCAGGCGTGTGAACCTGTTTTATGCAAATCGACTGTGGCTTCTGAGTCATTGCAAGCGGCTCTGCTCCTACCCCTCCTGAATTGGTTGCGGACATTGATATAAATGGGGCTGTCAAACCTGAGCATGTTCTCTCTGGCCTTGGAGCTGGCTGCTGCAGAGGTAGAGCCGGCTCTGACGATCATGGCCCTTCCCAAATGAGGTCATGGACAGTCACCAAGAGCTTTAACAGCCCATTCCTGAGCCCTGAGCAGGTCTCTTGCTCACTCCCCAGCCCTTCTGAATACCTCTTTCCATATGACTTTGAAGATCTAATTTGACCATCATAGAGTTTTACTCCTCACTGTATCACTTTGTCATATAGTAAACAGAACAGGGTTTACCCTTCCTCTGTAGACAGAATACTCAAGGTCATTCTCTCCATCCTAGCTAAAAGTGTTCAGGGAAAGCTCAAAGCATGTGTCAGCGTGGAAACTGGTCGGAGATTTACTCATCCATTTATGATGGTCTGATGGCCACAGTTAGGGATGAACTGCATCTGGGTTTCCCATGTGCTTTTGGACTAGGCCACACTTCATTATAAATTCACTTTTTGGAATAAACTGCCACCATTTTAACGTCAGTTGTAGTTTTTACAGCAATATTGCTGGGCTAGGATAGATCAGGGGCAGAGTGCTTACCTTAGGCATCAGGCTGTATTTGGGCTCAATCACCAGCACCAAAATAATGATAATTTTATTGATAGAGGAAGATGTTTGCCTGGTTCAACTCCCAACAATCCCAGCTCTGGGGGATCAGATGCTTCTGGCTTCCATGGGCACTAGCATGGACATAGCCCCAACCATACACATACAGAGGATTAAAAACAAAGTATAGGATTTGGAGTAAAACAGACCTTGCCTTTAAAGCCCCAAGTTGTTATTGCAACTCTGTATTACTCAAACGCTTTCTCAGCAACCTCCACACACACATACACTAAGAGGGGAATTAAAATATACCCCTGGAGGGGCTTCATGAAGAACAGATGAGTTGATGCATGAAAAACAGTGTACTGTTTAGCATATGCTAAGTACTCAAAGGAAGCTTTTATATTGCCTTATGTAATCTAATCCAAAACAATCTGTACACATGCATATCTGGATTTGTTTTTTTTTTATTTTGTGTATGCTGTAATCACTGAAGTGAGATTTGGTGAAGTCAGATAGATGGAGTCCATGGACCTTTGGCCAGGAAATGGGTCCTTTTGCTCAGTTGCCTCTGCATCTTCTGCTCATTCCCCGAGTAGTCAGTGACTACTTAGCAGGGCTTAGAATGTAAAGCTCCCCCCACCACGCCCCCATTCTCACCCTTGCTTCAGTACCTATTAGGTCTATGACCTCAGTAAAGCCCCTGATAACTGAGCCTCAGTGTCGTCCTCTGTGAAAGCCGCTTCATCTGCAGTGTGGGAATCAAGCCGACATGTGGGGAAAATGGCTCTTTGGAAGTCTTAGTTGCTATTTGATGATAAGGAAATAATCTTTGCAATCTGATCAAGTCCCTTCCTAGCTCATTAGTTCCACAGAAGGGGCTCTAGCGGTTCCTGTGATCTTAGACTACTCTGAGCTGTGGTTTTCTGCCTGTGACATGAGGGGGACTGATGACTTAAATCCCTGGACCTTGTTCAGTTCAGGACTGGTGTCAGGCTCCTTTGGGCAACCAGAACCCACCAGGCTTTGAAGCCTAACAACCGGGACCCATCTCTGCTTTACAGATGGACACCTTTCTAGCCTGTAGAGGACTGTCTCAGAGTGTTCATGATGTTTTTGTTTATTTTTGAGATTATAATTTGATTTCCTCCCTCTAAGCCCTCTCATAAACCCCTCCCTACTCTCCTTCAAATTCATGGTCTCTTTTTTTATCAATTGTTATTACATGCATATTTGTGTTTATGTATACATATATAGTTCCATAACCTGTTGAGTCCAACTAATGTTACTTGTATGTACATTTCAGGGCTGACTTTTTGCCAGACAAGCAGTTGGTGTGTTCTTCCCTAAGGAGGGCCCCCTCTCCTCTCCTGTCTTTTCTCAGCTGCTTGTACTTCTTTGTATAGGATTGAGGCCTCCTGGGCTTTTCCTTATGCAGTTCGGCATGTCCATTGGTGTCATGACTTTTTTTTTTTTTTTTTTTTTGACTAGCAGCTGTTTGGCTCAAGTGGGTAATTGCCTGCAATGAGACATCAGCTGGGGGCAGAAATCTCCATCAACAAAGGAAAGAGAAAGAGAAAGAAAGGAAGGAAGGATTGGTTCAAGATTCTTGCCTATAGTCTATAATTTCCAAATTCAGTTGTCCTGTGAGGTAGGTCGCTTGTGTGGAATTCCTGCTGATTAAACCATAGTGCTCTAAGAGCTGTGAGTGAGCACTGGTCCCCTTGGGTGGGCTCTGCTGCTCTCAGGGAGTGGCAGCAGCCCTCGTTCAGGCTGTTCTGGCCCCAGGGTTGGGTGTGCAGCTGTGTCAACAGGGCCTTTGAAGTCTACATACACCGGATGACTGGTCAGCAGGCCGTAGGACCATCACTACAAACTCAGTTACAAGAAATCATAGGCCTGTGGGAGGAACTGTGCCGGAGTAGTTGGGAAAGAGAAACGACAGTCAGAGAGAACACAGGAGAAACCTACCCAGACTCGCAGATTCATTCCACAGGGGTTGCTGCCAGCTTCCCAAGCTCTGCCTGCAGGTCCGCACAGTGATCTGGCTTGTTTCATTCTGACCCAAAGAAGCGCTACCATAAGGCGTGAGCAGGGGACAGTGCTAAGGGGTGGCAGGATCTAGGAAGAGGTTCTGAGTCATCAAAACATGGATAGGAGTGGGGAGGGGGATTTTAGCAGTTACCCTTTTTGGTATTGTAGATTTTAAGACTTTCTCTTAAAGCCTTCCTAAGCAGTCTTTTATGTGACTGGCCTCACCACAGGCCTGTCATGTCATTGCCAACTGCCTCAGTCGTTTGTATTCATTTGTCCCAGAGAAGGTGGTGGTTCAATCCTTTTTCAAAGAGAACAGGAGTGCTGGGAGTGGAGTGAGGTTAGAACCTGGGGAGGGAGCAGCTAGCCTCCTCCTCTACGAAGAAAAGAGGGCTAAGTTCAAAACCACGCAGTCATCCCCCCCCCTTCTTTTTAGACAGGGTCTTGCCAGCCCCCACCTCCAGGGAGTGGCTACAGAGTTTCTTTATAGGCCCAGTGGTTTACTTCTCTATAGCTCAGACTGTCCTCAAACTCACAGCAATCCTCCTTCCTCACTCCTGAATCCTGGAATCATAGGTATGTACCACCAGGCTTGCGCTATCTTTTCCTTGCTCTGTATGGCCATCTGGTTACTGAGTCACATCCGTTTGTCCCAGTGTCCTTGTATCCTGTTTTCATTTCACTCTTCTCCCTCCATAGCACACTTTTGGAACAGTGCAGCAGCCTGCTCCCTTTGTCACCAGGCTCTCCATCCTGTCTGCCCACCGTGGCCAGGTCCATCTTCCCATAACACTGCACGGGCCAGGCGCACTATGAACAGGACGAAGTCTTGGAATGGACTCTCTCTTCCCTGTCCTCATGTTCTCTGAGCTCTTTTTGAGGTTTACCCATCCCTATCTTTCAAAGTTGTCTTGGTTTTGTTATCGTTGTTTTATTCCTATTGCTTTTACTTTGAATTCTTGATTATGCTGTATCCTTTCTTAAAGTGTTACACACCCTCCTACCTTACATTCTTTCTTCTCTGTTCAGAATCTCCTGGCCAGGCTTTAGAGTAGCAATTCTCAACCTGTGGGTAGAGATTCCTTTGGGGTCAAAAGACCCAGAGTCATATATCAGATATCCTGCATATCAAATATTTACAATATGATTTATAACAGTAGCAAAATTATAGTTACAAAGTGGCCATAAAATAATTGTACGGTTGGGGGATCACCACAACATGTGAAACTATTAAAGAGTTGCAGCATTAGGAAGATCAGTTCTAGAGAAGCTTCCTGTAGCTGCCTTGGCGGAATGATCTTCCAACATTTTGTAACATTTAATCAATAAAACCATGCTGTTTCAGTGTAATTATTTGTATGCCAGAGCTTATCTGACAGTGAATATGAAGCATGTTTCCCAAAGTGTGTGTGTCCCAGTTTTTGTGTATTTCTGGTTTGTGTGTCTCCATGTGTGTGTACCAGTTCAATCATTGTCGTGCAAAGAACATGGTGGGCTCTTTTGAAGTGGTTGAAGTAATGTCTGGAGAAAACAGTAGTGAGGAACAGTCGCAGTACCATGAGTGATTACTGTGGTGGACAGTACCCTTAGTCCTAGTAGCAGACATCACTTCTGTGGCCTTGGAACATCCTTGACAGTCCAGGTCTTCTGCCTCCAGAGCCTGGGTACCACTGCAGCTACCCCTGTTACTCTTCTCATTACTGCATCCAGGTACCTGGCCAGAGAAAAGTTAGGGGAGGAAGACATTATTCTGGCTCACAGCTTGAGTGAGGGAACAGTCCAAGAAAGGCATGGCATGGCAGTGTGAGCAGCCAGTCACATGGAGTGCACCGTTCGCAGGGAGGCATGAGTCCTTGCTTTCTCCCTCTTCTTCAGCATGGGCCTCAGTCCACAAATGTGCTGGCCGCATTCAGAGCGCGTTTCCCCTTCAGGGGCTCTTTGCCTCTGCATAGAAGGCCTGGCAGGTTGATAAGCACGCACTCAGAACAGCTACTTCATAGACGCGGTCACCAACACGCGCTCGTCAGCTCGGGGCGTTGCAACAAATGCACTTCAGGGGCGCGCACCGAACAGGGATAACAACCATGGCTGTCTGCAGAATTGACCTTGGGTGAGAAGGGAAGAACGGAAGTGTGCCGATCAGCACGAGATGTGCTTCATCTGTGTGCAAATTGGTGACCCAGCATAGCCAGCTTGCACGTGCTGACGCTCCAGGACGACAGGTACCGTGTGAAAATAAAACATGTTTTTCTCTTCCATATTAAATGTGTTGTCTTCATTATTTGGTGGTCAGATTGCCAGGCTGGGACTTGTGTAATTCACCTTTGGCATGAGATGGCTACTTGGTTAATAATCCTAATCTGCCCAGTGCATGTGCACAGCCTGTGTTTATCGCTCTCGTCTTATAATTAACTTATAGTTAGCCTTAACTTTACGACTCAGTCTGTGAACTAGAGTGGCTGCAACCCTGTCTTTATCTAATTTAGCAAGATTTGCCTGCACTGCAATTAGGTTCACATGTTCTATGATCGACGTCCTTTGCTAATTGCATAATTCTTTTTGAGCTTAATCATCACATGGGAGCCTTCATTTTTTTTTTTTTTAACTGTCTATGTGGTTTGCTGTTGGTTGGGAGCTGTATGTAGGATCTCAGCTTGAGGCGTCTGCAGTCACACAACTAAAAGGTCTTCTAGTGTCAAAGATAAGGGAGGAACTGTCTTCCTGTGTAGTGAAGAAATTGAAACAAGGATGTCAAAGGGATTCACCTCTCCAAACAGCTCATCATTAGCAGCTCCCGGAAGATGTGGAGGGATGAGCGCATCTGTAGAGAATAGCACTCTCTGTCCCAGTGTGGGGAGTCATGAATAATTCAAATGGGGCCTGACAATTAGTGCAGAGCTTGAGTCTGGACAAAATTAGTCTGGGTCTAAAAGAAATCAGGTGACAGGCCAGGAAGGGTCCCAGGATACTCTGAAATTGTATCCTTTAGTAACCATTTAAGGCTCCAGGCTGCTCATTGCCAGCAGATGTGTCATTGTAAGGCCGGCTGCGTTCTTTCCCCTTCTTTCCTGCCTCCTTGTGAGATTTTCTTGTTCCATGAAGGAAGGTTAGAAGAAAATAGAAGCTGCACTTGCAAGTTGGGGATCTGCAAGGAAAGAATTAGAATATTGTCCTGAAGTGAATCTAAGATTCGGCTTTCTCAGCTTGTTTGTTTATTGGGACTATTTACAATAAGCTCAGAAGGGCTTATCCAAATTTG